GGTCATATTGGGGTAATATTGGGGGCATGGAAAATAAGATGGAAACTGCTGTTTAGGGTTTAAGGTTTAGGGTTTAGACCCGTGATTAATAAACCCCCTCCCCTTAATAGGGATTATAATAGGGATAATGGAAAAGAAAATGGAAACTACTATAGTATATTAGGGTTATATTGGTGCTTGTGGATGGTTCCTGCAGTCTTTCAGGGATTCCTCTTTGTCGTCTCGGATCACAAGCGGAACCCTTCAAGCCAGAACCAAAAGCCCAAGCGCCTCGGAAGGAAGGCCTACTTGAAGTTCACGAACTTGGCTTCGGGGCTGACATACTGCACCAAGGGCCAGGCCCATCCGCTTGAGACAAGGGAAGGGTTTGAAGTGCGATTTGTTCTGCGTGCGGCGGTGGGTTTTTGAATGTTTTTGATGTTCAGGCCTGGCATGGGTTGTTGTTCTCCAGGACTTCCGTTTCGCGCTTGAAGGAAGGCTAAAAATGTGGAGCGCGTTCCTAAACTCTAAGCCCTAAACTGTGTGCATGGTGTAGACCTGTCAATGCGCGGACATGAGATGCCACTGTCGGATCTCTTCGCCTTTGCATAAGGTTTTGAACTCCATATGTGGAGAGCTCAAACGTTTTTCAACTTGAAGCTTGGAAGATCTACCCTTCAATAGCAGGAGCCTAGGAGAAGCAGTACGTCCTAAGCTCTGCACGTGTGTATCTCAAATCCTGGGTCTCGAAGCTTGACCAAAGGCACCTGAAGGGTGAATCCCTGCAGGTCAAGGATGGAGATGGCAACCCAACTGACTGCCACCCGAGTGCAAACGCAGGGTCGTGGATTGCGGGTTTAGGTTTTGGTTCAGCGTTCGGGAAAGGCTAAACCCTGAACCCTAGACCTGAAACTTTAACCCTAAAAACCAAGCCCTAAACCCCAACCCCTGAATCAACACGGAGCCTTTCAGAATCGACTACAAGATGAACCTCTTGCTCAGGTGCAAATCAAAAGGCAACAAGGAATTCCAGGGTGACCCCAACCACCAAAATTGGGTGTAGGGTTCAGGGTTTAGACCAAATTGGGAATCCCTAACTATCATGCGCCTATCACAGGGTCTAATTCTTCCTTATCATGGAAACCCTCATATGGGCGATCTACACTTGGCAGCCGCCCGCTCGAAACTCTTTTCTGGGCGCACTTGGGTAAGAAGCCGAATCCCAGGCGTGGACCCTTCAGCCACGGAGCTCGCAAATGGCGTGATGAAGTACAGGTGCCCCTGCTTTTTCTTTTGGAAAACTGAATGAGGTGCCTATGAATTGTGAAGGTTTGCCGATCCGTTCTTGGCCAGCGAGTTCTTGTTAAAGCTCCCCTCAAAAGCTCTGGCATTTCTAGTTTCAGCTGCGGACTGTAACCACAATAGCCAGAAGCAAATACTCTTGGTTGTCTCAGAAAGGGCGACGGGCAGATGTTTTTGGGAGATTGAATACCGTCGTCTCTAAAGATCGGAGCCTCTGAACCCCAAGAGGGTGGATTTGAAAACAGAACAAACCCCAGACCCGAAACCTTAAACCCTAAATTTGTACTGAAGCCTTATGCACGTTGCTGCGGGGAGGCCGGAAGTCCTCGTGAAGTGTGTTTGCACAGCTGGCACTGAGTGCAGCTGGCCTGGAAGGGAATGTTGAATTAAGGTTGAGGCTTGAAGCTTCAGGATGCAGTTGTATTCGCCAGAGATAAGGGGTCTGGTTTCTGCGCAACTTGTCCGGCTCTTCCAAACACAGTGTCTACTTTGAGATTCGCTGATATGGGATGGCCGAAATATGAAACATATTGCCAACATCTGCCAACGTTGACGTCTGCCACATACGCGACATGTGCTGCATTCTTTCCGGCTATTCCAAACAGAGCGTGTACTTAGGGTGGCCAAAATGCATATGGAACGTGCTGCAGACGATGCGTCTGCCACGTTGGCATTTTTTGCACCTTCTGTGCAGCTCTTCGAAACATAGTGTCTCCTCGGGGACTTGCATCCCGTGATGCGCAACTTCCCCAGTGATGTATACGTTCCATGATGCTGCATTTTCCCATATTCTCACGGGCTGATGTGTGATAACCCCGCCCCTTGTACGCGGCAAGGAATGCAGTGGAGAGGATTCCCAGCTTTTTTCTTTCAGCCTTAAAAGCACGGCGTTCGGTGCTGGGTGCGTTGGCTCTTGGGGAGGGGAGCTGTCTAGAGAGGAGAAAAGCAGCCGCAGTAATGTATCTTCGTCACAACGATTCTCAACAAGATTGCCAAACGTTTTAGGTGAGGTTGCAATTTCGTTGAGCTAATCAGCGCAGTTATCCCGCGCGCAGCCCAGAATATCACATGATCACACTCCTGCCGTTGTCTCAAACTTATTTCGGCCAGAGGGTTACATGTAGCTACTTAGCAGCGGAAGCTCCTCTTCGTTTGCAGAACTTTGCGCACGAATTGCCTTTGTTCGGTCCTCGATGTCTTCGATGAGGCTCGCTTAGCTCAGAGCCGCGTGCTCGAAAAGTAAGGCCTGCAATCTTAAAGTTTCGCATAGCTTTGCGAAAGGTGCACACGGGGCACATGGACAGCTGAAGCTTGACTTGTCCCATCCTCGGCCGTACTGCACGAAGAGCCAAGATGCCCAAGGAGCTCGGATAGCCATGTGGCATTGCATTTTCAGCTTTCTCACCCCCTTTTCTCTTTTCTTTCATTCTGTTCATTCATTCTCGGTCATTTTCCTTTCCGCATGTTCCGTACGGTCCACACGGGTTGACCTCCGCTGCTTGGACCCTGTGTGTCAGAGAAGCCGTGATACGTTGGGCTTTGCCCATGAAAATGGTCGACCGCATGTTGCGCAAGATATAGAAGTGTAGGATCTGAGCCTAAGAGTTCCCCAAGTTCTGGGTTCTTTTGGGGGGTCGATGGAGTCATATTCGAGTTGTTTGGAACTTTATGTGTGATGGATAGATAGCCATTGAGCTCGTAAATATATCCCTGAACCCTATTACCCCCTATATATTCTTCCATATTTCAATATGGTCCCTACATACATACCCCTATACGATGACCCCTAGAAAGCCTTTCTACGAAAGCCCAGCCAAGGCAACGGCATGATTGCAAACGCTGGCGTCGCAGCGGTTGCAAGCACGATTTTTGTGCGCATCGCGCTGGGTCTTTTGGCTTGAACATCCGTGTGACAGGGTCCATTTCTACCATAAGTAGTGCATCTTTGGGGTTGGGTTTTTGGGGTGCAGGTGTTGCTTGTCTGAATTTCAGCCTAGCCTGGCATTTCCCTTGCAGGAGAGTTGGGACCAAGTGTAGGTTGAACACTTGCGGCTTCTGACTTTGAATGTTCTTGCTTCTGCTTCCGAAGGCATGTATTGACGCGGCCAACATCATGTTTTTTGCTGAACAGTTTGCAGTTTGCAAAAAAGCGCGCACCTGTTTTCCAAAGGTGTGGAAGGCCTCAATTTTCTACGCAAACAGGAGGAGTGAGAAATCGAGCTTCCAGCTGTCAACCTTACATGGGACGCATGAATCCTGCACCCCTACCGCCAGGCACACTTCTGGAGCGATTCGGCCCTGTCACCGTGCAGAATTGAAGTCCGGGTCAGGGGCATCGATTTTCTGGGTTCTTGAACATTCTTGGTCTTTTCTGAACAAGAACTCTGAATCAACTTTTGGGGGTGGCGACGGTTTATGAAAATTCGTAGAAAGCAGTGCATGGGTCAAGTCGTACCTGGCGACATTGAAGATTAGGGCTTGCCGCTTCCAATGAAGGATGTGGTTTGAGGGTTATGCTTTTGGGGGTGAAGCGTTTGGGGTTTTGAGGTGTAGGTTGAATACCAGTAACCCTAAAGCTATCATGCTGAGAAAGTTCGCCTGCTTTAAGATGCCCACACGAGAATACTTTCGGATGTGGGGAATGGTCTTTAGGTTTCGGGAAAAGGCTTCTGGTCGGCATTCCCTGGCACAACTTAGGCAGAAGACAAGTCAAATTTCAGCCAGAGTGCCACAACTTGCCGCACCAGTTTTTTCCCGTCTCTGTGCAAGTTTCCCGGATTATTTGGTGATCGTAAGATGTGTCATATCCCAGAATCGAATTCAACTCGGTGATCGTGATGCACCGCCATTGGACAGATTGGCCGTTTGAACTGATGTACATGTCCTTTTTTTCGGTTTAGTTTTTGGAAGAAGTGCGCAAGTTCATACATTTTGGGGTTCCAGAATCCAAGTGAAACGGAGTGCCTAGGCGGCGAAAAATGGCTTGCTTCAAGGCACCGCACGACCTTAATTTCGGGCACACTTGCCAAAAGCATTTCTTGCTGGCAGTCCCTGTTACAAAATGTGTTGCCGACACATAATAAGACAAACGCATAGTTCCACCATTCAAATAGGCCAGACCATGTTTCTTCCTGCCCTGAGACGGACGGTTGTGTCATACGTAGGGGCAATAGGGGCGATCTGGCACTATGAGCTGATGTCAATGAACATGTGATGGTCCCGCAATTGAACATCAGACGTGCAAACTCAGGTGAATGTCCAATCAGGACTACCATGTGTTGGGGACTGTGTGGCATCCTCTCGCCTGAGAACTCATGTGGTTGCCCCCCCTAGGCATGCTATGGGTGCTAGGCTAGGTTCGGGTGACCCCCTAGATCGGTCAGAGATACAGTGTATTTGCTAGCGCAGCTGGGACGCTCTCACGAGCATGAACTTCATCTGCGAGGTCGTAGGAGGGGTTGGTTTGACAGATATATCTCTTTGTTTGCAAGTGTTGAGGCGTGAAGCCCCTGGCCTTGTTGGGCCATCACCCCGTGTAGCCGCAACAGCACCTTCAGGACTACTAACCTTCGGGGCTATCTGGGTGGCTGCCGCGGCCGGTATCAGCGCGCCATGGAACTACACCATGATCCGCCACTCGCAATGCACCAAGACACCGACATGCAAAGCCCTACTTCTCGTATGTCTCGCCACCTGTTCAAACTTCTGGAAGGTGTCTCCGCTTCCAGCAGCGTCAAGTAAGATAGAACCCGAGCTGATGCCCAAACATGATAAACAACAGTGCATGAGCTAAGGATCGTCTTTCAAGAGGTCTGATTATAGGAGAAGAAGGGGTAGAAAAACCTCGAAGAAGCTCGCATGATTTTCTAGCTGTTTCTTGATTAATCTGTCGCTTTGCGTTTATGCTATTTGTTCCACAAAGACTGTGACGCAGCTGGCAGCAGGTTTCTTCATCGGCTGCGCTGGTGCTACGCCGCTTGGTGTGAATTTTCATGGGCCACAGGCCAAGGAAAATGGCTCAGATTCCAAGATGTGCATATAGTAGGGTTGGGTTGAGATGCGCAACGCCGCAGGTGACAGCTGCATCTTTCCAGGCGTTCTGGCTCATGGGGTTGGATGTGTTTAGGTCGGGAGTGCAAGGTTTTGAAAGTTTTTGCTGAGCACACAAAATTGTTTTTGGAGAAGAGGTTGCTGATTGACCTCAGCAAGTAGGAGGGTTGCAGAAGTTTCTGGCCCCACTTCCAAAAGTGAGCCTGTGCACATATCCCCTCATACAGCCAGCTCCCGAAAGCCTAAAGTGTCCAATGCAAGTGCAAAGGTTCGTCACCAACCAGTTCTGGTGCTCTCTGATGTTTGCCCCCAATGTGATCGGCACTGCCAACGCCACGGCGGCCGGATGGGGCAACCTTGGTGGTGGTGTCACTTGACTTGACCTTGTTTCGAGATGTGGTTTGGGTTTTGGAGAGATTGACTCATGTTGACTCATTACAAAGCCATTCAGAAGGAGGAAGTTCCCGCGGACGATTTTGTTTTAGGACTTCCGGCCTCGACATTAAGCCTCAAAATCTACACATGTGCTCATGTTCGTTCCTGCTCTGCAAATGAAGCAAAGGTTCAAACCTAGCAAGATGCTACATGGTCTTATCTTCGTCCATGCTCGCAGTTCCCCTAACCCCCCAAATTTCCTGCAAATCAACACAACTGGTGGCGAGTCACATCGAAACAGCCAGAAGCCACATGTTTTCATACCCTTTCATATCCACCCAACATGTTGGGTGGAGATTGCAAAATGAAAATTAAAGCATCTTCGTCCACTTTTGAAAGCAGTGGGAGGGCGGCGCCGGCCCTGATGGGAGTGCTGAAACCACACAGAACAATATGCGTTTCAAGACTTTTTTAGAAGTCGGCTACAACTGCTGAAAGTTGCAACCTACAGCCTTTGAAGGCAGAATGGCACAGCCTGCTCAAAAGCGATGCCTAGGCAAATCTTAGCCAGACTTAGCAAGAATCTCCATATACTTTCATGTTACTCGATACCTCCATGTGGTCGCCTGGCCAGTTCCCCATACTGGCATAAATCTCACAGGCCTGAGTAGCAAGTGGAAGGTAGAGGTTGGTCATGTTATTTGCCACTTCAATTTTGAGTACATGAACTGGGAGATGAGCGTGGTGACCGCGGGGCTCATCTTTGTGGTTTGCATGTGGCGATTCCTCGATTTCGAGTGCGTAAGGATTCGGCATGTTGTGGGGTGTTTGCACAAACGAGTCAGATATCGGTGTATTCTGTCAAACGTGGCTTGAAGGAGGGCAAGATCGCGCCCAGCAAGTCTCTCGGGCGTTCTTCTTGGCTTGGACTTGACGAAGGCTGTGAGCACTGTTCTGTTTCCTCGTCGCGCTTGCACAGGTCCAACACTGCCGAGTCCCGGAGCCACGATACTTTGAGACAAGGAGCGTGCGTGGCAATGCCCGGCGCAGGCACTGGGCCCAATGCAAGTCTTGTGCGGGCAAGCCGAACAAACGGCACATCTACAGTATGGATCTCTTGATCCTACGGAGCCACACCTTCAACCAGCTTCTTGAACGGAAGATCGCTCCTATTCGGGCTGCCAAATGCAAGTGGGCGCACGACGTGTTCCTGTTGGCGGTCGGTGACCTGACCCGGATCCTGTCACCAAGGTTAAGAGGATTGTCACGTGCAAGACCTGCGGCACGAGCGGTTCCCATTGCCTTTTCCTGGGGAACGTTTGCCCCAAGTCACAGGCCGGCATGGATTCTTTTGTCTGAGGAGACCTAACAAGGCCGGGCGCATCAAGTTCATGTCCAAACTCCACAAGCAAGCACGCACAGCTCAGGCGCGGCTCACGAAGCAGTCCAAGCAAACTCGTCGGGTCGCCAGAGATGAGATCACGGAGACTACCACGAAGTGCAGCCGGAAGCAGCTGGCCAAGCTGATCAAGTTCAGAAAGGGGCGCAACCGCAAGCGCTCCCTCTGAAGGTTCCGTGTCCGTACTCAGCTCTGCCGAGTGTGGACACAATTTCGTAAACTGGGAGAGGCCAGCAATTCCGGGCCTGACTGCGGCTTGCGGTGCCTCACTTAAACCTTGGGAGTATGAACACGCAGGGTGAGATCCTCAAGGAGCTTCTGAGGGAGTACTGCTTTGACGTTGCTTTCATTCAGGAGCACAGGATTTTCCTGGTTGCTAAGCATCGCGTGGAGCGAGACTGGCGTGCTGAAGGGTGGCCTATTTTCTTCGGGCCTGAGTGGCCTCATTGTCAACCATAGATGGTCTGCGACTCAGCTTGCCGTGTCTCATCATGTCTGCTCGGTTGGCCTCGGCTTGACTGGAAAGGTTTTGCTTAGACTAGGCTGTGTTTGCGCGCCGGTGCGTGTTCACGGCAAACAGCAACAGTTCTATCAGGAGTTCTCTACGCGGATGGACCTTCCGGGCATGTGGTTTGCAGCAGGTGATTGCAGCCATGATCTTGCATCTATCCTGTGCCCGGGACTGTTTCATTTCCAGCGACCGGCGCATGGCGATGCTCGGCTCATCTTGCATACCTTCAGCCCTCGCACATGCCAAGCAGAATGAAATGAAATTGCCTGTCACAAATGCTTCGGGCCTCCTGCGCGGCCGCCCGCCACCTCCCTGGGAAGCCAGTTGTCTGCCCAATCAGCGGAGCAGACCAAATGCGATAAGCAACCTGCAACACAGTGTGCCCCCATCCGTCTTGCTGATACAGATGAGCCTTGCCTGGCGCAAAGGATCGGTAAAGGCACTGCCTCGATCCAGCGCATCATAAAACACTCAGCAAGCAAGCCAAGATGCTCCTGAGGGAGCTCTGCGCAACGAGAGTAGCTCAAGCCATCAAGTCCAGCCGCAGATTTATGGCATTCGCTTCTTATGGCGTCTGGTGTCCACACAGGTGGCTCAGTGTATGCGGGAGCCCTCCCGCCACAGGCACGCTCTACATGCCCCCGCTCCTCACGATACTGCGAGAACCTGGGTTCAGGGACCTCTTCGCACACACGTTCCCACTCGTTGGCAATGGCTTGACCAATGTCAGCCGGTGAAATAGCAGGAGTGCCATCAGCCTGCTTCAGCGACGGAATGTGAACAGAGGCCGCGCACGCCCATCTGGCTGCACGGCCTACATCACGCACGCGGTGCTTCCAGCGAGAAAGCAACTGACGACGTCTGTCGGCCACAAACTGGGCCAACCGAGGACTCGTGCTTGGCCTCACTCCATCACCCAGCTGGCAATTGAGACATCCTGCGAGTAGCCTTCATGATGCTGTTGGCTTGCTGCCTCCAGGGACCCTTGCCACCAAGCCCTGGCTTATAGACCCCTCATTGCCATCCAGGCCGAAGGCCATGTAACGCCAGAGGTTCCATGCTTCATTCGCCCTTTCCTCGTGGAGGGCAGGGCGAAAAGCCTCCACCAAATCATCAGTGAGTTGTGAGGTGACAGTGCTCGGAATCTGCCAAGCTAAGCGCCCTCGATTGGCACAAGGGTGGCACAAGACAGGGGCATGCTGAAACAGCACCAAACTTCCCAGACTGGTGGCCCTGCCCAGGTTCATCATCGAGTTGCCCAGGAAACCGTCGATGGGGTTGATCCAACCAACTTGCCGGGTGCTGCTTAGACACATGCAAGCGCTCCGATTCAGTGTCCCTGCTTTCCTTGCACATGTTTCAGCCATGGCAGGGCCTGGGACGGCTGAAGGTCCTACAGGAACAAAGACCAAGCTGCAGCTCATGGGCGCATGGCTGCACCATGTGAATGAGGTCGATGTTGCCACAGTGTTTCCTGATGATCGGTGCATTTTGGATGGTTTTCCTTTTAGGATTACGCACTTTCAGGTTCGACTTCCTCTTTGGGCTGGAGATTCATCTGGACAAGTCGTCACGTTTTCAGATTGGACACCGCGATTCCCTGGGAGCGGAGATTTGGTTGCAATCTCCTCTCAAGTTGATCTTTTATTTAGGTGTTCAACTTGAGACTGCCGCTGTCAGTAGTCATGTGCTTGGAGACGAGAGGGCGGAGACGGTCAAGGCCAAACTCTTTCGGGTTCGAGCTTTGCCTCACCCTGAGACTCGCTGGGCGCTTATCCCCGCCTACTTGCAAGGTTTGTGCTCCGAGGGTGTGAACCTCAGCAAGCGCGCCACTCAGCGCTTGTCTACTGTGACATGTCAAGCATGGTGGGGACCGACACTCCATCTCAGAAACTGGATGCGCAGCCCTGCACACACTTTGTGGCTTCTGGGACCTCTGCATAGGCTGGCGCCTCCCGCTGTCCATCTTTATGGTTGCTGAATTGGGCTTGGAAGGATTATGGCGCCCAATCCATGTTCATGCTGGTGGCTCTATGTTAGGTTTTGCAAGAATATGCACGAGGCGCTCCTCGACGTTCGCTGGCAGTGGCCTTGACTGGAGTTCCTGGTTACCAACTCGGGCGAGGAGCTTTGCAGGCTGGGGATGGCATGGGTCTCAGGGCCCAGCACCAACTCCGTGAGGCTGCGTAGGTGGTGGTGGACTTCGCGGGAAGCCAATTGCTTCTGACATTGACCGTCAAGCCCATGGATGGGGAAATTGGATTTCGGCCCTGCTGGGACTTTTCAGGGAGCGTGCTGTGCTCGTTCCTTGGCGGACGCCCTGTGGAGCCGCTTCAGACTGAGTGAGGCAGGAATCCTCTTCGCCACTGTCTCCAATGTGAGTTGGAGGACGAGCATGTTTTGCATTTCTTATGGCATTGCAAGGCTAGCCGTGGCAGGCTTGAGCGGCTCAGAGTTGAGTGGAGGGACGGGGCGCGGCCCGGCTCTTGCATCAGTGCAAATTTTCTTCCGGAGGCCCTTCCCCTTTGCCTTTGGCAGTGTGGCGTGAGTGGCTGGCTCTCCAGCGCATTCCAGCGCTACTATGTTGGCACGGAGCGGGGGCATGGACGGGAAGGGGAGGCTGCCGAGGATTTCTAGTGCCTTGTACAGTGACCTTGGTTGCGTTTGCTCATGCAACTTTGGACGTGCAAGTGAAGTTATTGTATGTTGACCTGATCAAAATCGCAAGTGCAGAGCGCGAATGGTAGTGCAAGCATGTTTGTGCGTCCCCTTCCAGCGCATGCGTTAAAAACCCTCTGCTTTCAGCTGAATGTGTGGCTTTCATGTGACTTGGGCCAGGACAAGGAGCCTAATAGCGCTAGGCGCAAGCACTGGGCCCAAGGCAAGTCGTGTGTGGCGTGCAGCATGGACCTCTTAGCCCTGCGGAGCCAGACCTTCAATCAGCTCCTCAACCGGAAGATCGCCCTGATCCAGGAGGCCAAGTGTAAGTGGGCTCGCGACGTCTTCCTGCTGGCGGTTGGTGCTCCAAACCCTGTCACCAAGGTTAAGCGGGTTGTGAAGTGCAAGGCGTGCGGCAAGAGTGGTTCCCCCTATCTTTTCCTTAGGAACATCTGTCCCAAGTCGCAGGCGGGCATGGACGCCTCAGTGCATAGACCTAACAAAGCAGGACGCGTCAAGTTCATGTCCAAGCTCCACAAAGCAGGCGTGCCGGGCTCAGGCGCGGCTCACAAAGCAGACTAACCCAGCCCACCGGGCTGCGAGAGATGAGATCGCTAAGCGCACCGCGAAGTGCAGCAGGAAGCAACTCGCCAAGCTCATCAAGTTCAGGAAGGGGAGCCACCGCAAGCGTTCCCTGTGACGGCCCTGTGTCCACACTCGGCTTTATCGGGCGTGGACACATTTCTGCAGACTGGGAGAAGCTAGCAATCCAGGCCCTGACCGTGGCCTGCAGTGCCTTATTTCGAACATGGGGAGCCTAAACACGCAAGGCGAGATTCTCAAGGAGCTACTGAGGGAGCATTGCATCGACGTTGCTTTCATTCAGGAGCACCGGATTCCATTAGCGGCCAGGCACCGCGTGAAGCGAGATTGGCGAGCTGAAGGGTGGCGCGTTTTCTTCGGCCCTGAGCGGCCTTGTGGATTCGGGCAGGCCATTGTTGGCAATCACAGGTGGTCTGCCACGCAGCTCGGCGAGTCCCAGCATATCTGCTCGGTTGGCCTTCGATTGACTGGCGAGGTCATGGTGCGATTAGGATGTGTCTATGCGCCGGTGCCAGTTCACGGCACGCAGCAACAGTTCTTTTCAGAGCTTGATAGGTGGATGGGTCTCCCTGGCATGTGGTTCGCCGCTGGCAATTTCAACCCTCTTTCCTCTTCCTCTCCGGTTTCAGGGATTTTTCGCTTTCCAGACGCAGGCACTTGGCGGCGCTCCGCTCAGCATGATTGGATCAACCCTATCGATGGTTTTCTTTGCAACTCCATGATGTGCCCGGGCAGGACCACCAGTTTGGGGAGCTCTGTGCTCTCCCAGCATGCTCCTGCTCTATGCCAGGTTCCTTGTGCGGATCCTCTTGGAGGTCGCTTAGCATGGCAGATTCCCGACACTATCACTCTGCAGCCCACAGATGACATGGTTGAGGCCTTTCGCGCTTCCCTCCGCGAGGGCAGAGGTGATGATGCGTGGAATCTCTGGCGGTATATGGCCTTTGGTTTGGGTGGCGAAGAGGAGTTGTACAAACCAGTTTCTTGCGCTGTGCTTGTCCCTGGCGGCGGCAGGCCAACAGCATCATGAAAGCCGCCCGCAGGATGTCCCAGCTGCCTACAGACTCTTGGGCCGAGGCTGAGTATGAAGCGTTCGAAGCTCTCGAAACTCAGTTGGCCCAGCTTGTTGCCGACAGACGTCGTCATTTGTTGTCTTCCTGGAAGTATCGCATGCGGGATGTGGGATGTGCAGCTAGATGGGTGCGCGCGGCCTCTGCTCACAGTTTGTCGCTCAAGCAGGCTGATGGCTCCCCAGCTATTTCTCCGGCTGAAATTGGTCAGGCCGTTGCTGCTGAAGGGGAACCTATTTGGGAAGAGGTTCCCGAATGCAGATTCCTTCAGGACCATGCGGAACTGGAGCGTGTTGCTGGGGCCTTTGGTAGGAGGGCTCTCCCGTACACTGAGCCCACTGCGTGGTCACCGGACGCTGTCAGACAGGAATGTCGCAATTCCGCAGCAGGACCTGATGGCTTGAGCTACTCTCACTTTGCAGGGCTTCCCCAGGAGCACCTTGTTTTGCTTGCTAAGCTCTACGATGCGCTGGATCGCGGCCTTGCCTTTCCGAGTTCTTGGCACCAGGCTAAACTCATTTGCGTCAGTAAGACTGATGGTGGTGCCAGGCCCATCACTGTGCTTCAGGTTGCTTACCGTATTTGGTCCTCGCGTATGGCAAAGCATCTCGCTGACTGGGCCGACTAGTTGGTGGCCGTGCAGGCTGCCCCTGCTGTAGTGACTGGCAACTTCATGTCGTCTTGCTTGGCCTGCGCTAAGGCTGAAGGTAACCAGTTAGCTGGTTGCTGCTTAGATACGCGCAAGTGCTTCAATTCTGTGTCATTGCTTGCCATGCGCGTCCTGTTTGAGAAGTGTGGAGGCCCGAGGTGTCTTTTCGCTGTCCCCTGACGCAACATGCCTGCAAATCCTAACAGGGGAGCACCTGCATGAGCGTGGACGGCGTGCTCACAGCCTCTCCACAATACGAGGCTCCCACTGCAAGAGCCTGCTGAGCCCAATGAAAAGGCCGTAAAGCTGGACAGCAGCAGGGGCAAGCCTGTGCAACGGCCCCAGCAGCCCTAGAGTGAAAGCATTGCTGCGCATCCATGTTCTGAGATGGAGTGTGGCCCCACCATGCTTGACACACAACTGTGGACAGCCTCTGAGTGGCACGCTTGCTAAGGCTCACACCTTCAGAGTACAGACCTTGCAAATAGGCGGGAATCAAAATCCTGCGAGTCTCTGGGTTAGGCAATGCTCTAGCACGCAAGAGCTGGGCTTTAACCTTCTCCGCCCTCTCATCCCCAAGCATATTATTGTGGACTGCCGTGGTCTGAAGCTGGACACCCAAATATTTGAGAGACGTCTTGAGTGGAAGCTGTAACCAAGCTGCGGCTCCCCGAGAGTCAGAGTGGCCAATCTGAAAACGTGACGACTTGCCCAAAATGAACCTCGAGGCCAAAAAGGATGTCAAACCAAAAAGCCAAGGCCGTGGCGATCCTAAAGGGAAAGCCATCCAAAATGCCTCGGTCATCAAGGAAAACTCTGGCAACGTCAACTGGACTTAAGTAGTGCAGCCAGGCGCCCATCAGCAAGTTCAGGGCCTCTGGCGCTATGGGGTCGCCTTGCGGTAGGCCCCGTTGTCTCTGTAGCTTGATCTTGGCGCCTGTGGGGCCTTCAGCCGTCCAGACGTGTCGCTTCACTGGCGGTGGCCACGTTTGGATTGCTTGGCCATGGGCTCGGGTGAGGAGATTCCGCTTCGCAGGTTGCCTTTCCGAGACAATGATGGTCTCCGAGCCCAGCACCTCTTACGTGAAGGCTTCCGCAGCTCGTGGTGGTCGTCCTGGGAAGCTACTCGTTGTGCACACCGAGGAATTGCTGCAGGTGTTGACCGTGAGGCCTCTCTTCGGCATTTTCAGTCCATGCAGAGGGGGAAGTTTGATTTTGGCTGGGATGGCACTGTTCAAGGTGCCCACTATGCCAGTTTCCTGGCCGATGCTCTTTGGAGCCGCTTCAGGCTTAGTGAGGGCTCGCATCGTCTCTTCACCACGATGGCTCAGGTGCGAGCTGGAGGATGAGCATGTGTTGCACTTTCTCCGGCATTGCCAGGCCAACCGTAGCAGGCTTCATCAGCTTCGGGAAGAGTGGCGAGCTGGGACTGGACCCGGGTCTCGTATCAGTGCCGATCAGTTGCCAGATGCGCTGCCCATATGTTTTCGTCAGTGCGGGGTGATTCCCATTGATTCAGGTTGCAGTCAGGCGCAGTTGCAGGCTCTCCAGCGCTATTACGTGGTTGCTCATGCAATTCAGGATGTGGCAGTGCGGATTTCCGCAGTAGCTTGTTTCCAGCTAGGGTGTCCCCCCAGCCTTCCTATCACTCATGTAACTCGGGCTGTTGGCGAGTCCAGATTTTGATGGCATTACAATGCATGATAGGCATGCCAGACTTGTACAGGATAGAAGTTAGGTTTCCGCCATACTTCTTGACGGCATTGCAATGGAAAAACACATGAGACTAGCAAGTTGATGTGAAAGATGAGACTAGCAAGTTGATGTGAAAGCGCGTGTTTGACGCAACCTTAGCAATAAACGCAATAAAACCACAAACGTGCTTCCATTACAGGGCTTGCCCCGCATTGGTAAACAATGAAACAATCAGAGAGGTACTTGCCCCAAGTCATTCAAAGAGAGATGCAACGTTATTTCGAACTTCAGGTCACGCAAATTTTCATGATGAGTGTACTTTTCAATCCCATGGTCGAATCTGGCATTCTCCCGGACACTGCTTGGCGATTGGCCATGATCGTGCCAGCGGTGATGTTCCTGATCGTCGCTATCAGTTTGAAGCTCCTTTGCTGGGACACCCCTACATCCAGGCACATGTCAGCTTGAGAGGTGAGGGTAGAAAGATGCACGGAACATTGCCGCGACCAGGCGCTTCGACGTGTCCGTCACGGGCAAAACCCAGAAACCATCCATGATGGACTATTGTGAAGTGCTCAAGGACAGGAAGCCGTATGGCTGGAGAATAATGTGTAGATAGTTAATGTCGACATGCATAGAAAATCGCTGTTTGTTTGAGGACTTTCGTGTGGTCGTGATGATTGCCCAGTACTCAGCGTGCTTCGGCGCTGAGATTCGGCAGCATTCATGCTCGGGCGGGTGCTGTTGTTTTTAAATGGCTTTTTTTTTCAGGGCACATGACACTTTGAGCAGCCGGTTGTGCCAGCAGACAAGCATGAACACGGTTTGGGGTTGTCTACGTAATCCGTGAGGTTAATTCGCTGTACCAAACATGTGTGTTGATTATTTTCAAACTTGTGATCTTTAAGGAATGCTCGTTATCCAATTTACAGCACTTAGGAAGGCCTAAAGTCCATTAAGATACACACTTAGGAACTAGCGATGAACAATCAGTTGGCTACGCACTTTCGCACATATTTCCAGATGGCGGCAGCAGATGCTTCAGCATTGGCGGGCTCTTTCGGCTTGATGAACCTTTTCGCCCGTAGCTTGGGAGGCATCACCTCTGACCTGCTCTTCAAGAAGTTCGGCTTCCGCGGCCGCATTTGGGCGCAGTTCTTGTCGCTCTTCTTCGAGGCTGTGTTCTTGTTCTGCTTCGGACTTGTGGACAACAGCCAGCCGTGGTATGTGGCCTTGGCCGTGCTCCTGTGCTTCAGCTTGTTCGTGCAGATGGC